ATTAATTTGCGTTTTTGTGTGTGCTTGGGTAGCACGGTTTCGCCGGGAAGGATTTTATAAAAATAAAAATGGTGTTCGTTTTTCTCGCCTAAGGTTACATGACAGAATCACCCCCAGCTTATAGGTATATAATCCCTGAAACGTGATATGTGCTGTAAAAGTATTAGAAAATATTAATCGATGTTTTAATGGAAACACAGTTGATCGTTATTTTACATGACAATTTAAATGGTAAAACATCGGAAATCACTGACTGCCCAATTCATCAGTGATCAGTCATAAATAACTGACTTTCAAACCATTGTAGCTGGTGCAAGAACCAGAGATATCGGCAGAAAGAAGATTAATATAAATTTCCAGATTCGGGCGTGAATCGACTAAGGATATCTGAAACTATTGTTTATGTCAAATGTTGGATTTTGGCAATGATCGTACACTTGTTTTTTCAAAAGTAATGATTTTTTGTTTCGTAACATAAATGTTGTTACTTTTTTATTTGCATCGGACACAAAATATATCACGAAAGTGATAAATTATTTGGTTTAATGTAAAACAGATCGCTCCCTTCGTTGTTGCTGTTATTGAACTCTGTCGATCGCGCTCTGCACAAAGATGATAGCGAGAATCGCTTGTTGGTTCCATTGCGAGTTCCTATATTGTGTTATTTGAGCTGCAGAACTATCTCGTTGTACATCCCTACCTTAAGTCCACCAGGCTTTGTAAATTAACACCAGTGCGTGGCATACAAATTTACCTCCATTCAAATTGCATTTTCTCCGTCCGGAGATATAGCGTGCACGTGACTGCCACGACTGAACGATGCTGACTTAAGGTGAATTCGTTACGCCTTTGGTGTGTAGTGAATTTACAAGGACTATTAAACATACACAGATATTATATATATGCTTATTCTAAGACGTCTTTCTAAACTGTGTCTTTCTGCAAGCAGACCGACCTCCGTTCTTTCCCATAGTGCTTCTTTGAATTAACATATTCTTAACCAACACCTCTATTAAAGCAATATGACAAACCATCTATCCTAATTCATCAACATATGAAGATTCCAGTTTTTTTTATAAAAAGACCAAATTAAGTCTTGAATAATTTATTCACTGACCCATTTAGAATGTTGGGTTGAATTACTCGAAACGTGCTGTTTTCGTGGCAACTGAATAAATATCCGTCCCAGATTATACTCGATTAAGCTTGGTTTTTAATCATGAAACATCATATTAATTTGTAATATGTCGTTTTCGGTTATCTGAATGCAAGAATTCATATAAAACTCAATGGAGACAGAATTTCCATCTTCTGTGAAACCTAACCTCGATTTGTCCATTATTATAGTTATCTGGCAATACGAATTGTTCAAACTGATCCATATTTCTCTAAAAATATGATCTCGAACAAACAAACCTGCCAATGTATACCCTCCTTGGTAAATTAACAATATACCAGGCTTTTCTTCTTTTTATGGGTTAGTAATAAATAAATACACACTTCTCTTAAATATCATTTACGGCTTCGGTAATGCCATTAATTAATAACAATATAACGCGCCATTCAGCATTAAAACCTTTTTCTACAATGTGCACTTCAAAATACGTGTCGTAAAATTATAATGAACAATAGAAGGAATGTTATTTTCCAATGGAGACTCTTGTCTGCACTAATGGAAAAATAGACATTTCTCTGGATTCAACTCACGATTAAACATATACGCACATATGATAAAAAAAAATAGGTCGTGAACGAGGACATGCAAAATATTTTATGGAATCAATTATACGGAGACCATGTAGTCTATAGCTGAGTTTGCATTTTTTATCAGCTGTGTCACACATCACGACAATAAGGCGATTATAGTTACCATAGAGATTAATCGCAAATATTAAATTAATGCCGCCACAATACTTTTTTTTGTAGTTGCTCCATCCTGTGTCATTTATGTAATGCAGTAAACGTTGTGCGATGTGCTACAACGAAAAATAAGAGGAGAATACATCCTGATATTATGTTACGTTCGGTCAACATATTGACCTGAAACGTTCTATATTTATATTTATATATAATTATCATTGATACCAACCTATGCAGAGTTTGACATAAACTGCAAATCTTGTTTTCTTTAAGTCAAATCCTGTCATTCTAGAATGTTTACATGCTTCACAAAAACTGTCATACGACTTCTCTATAGATCCTGTGAGTTCAGGGATCGCTGACCAAGTTATGCTTTGCTAAGCAGAAACCATCAAAGTTGGGTTAGCGCTCAGAGCTAACCGAAGAGACGATGTGATAGACAGAGCTTTACAGATTCGATGTCAGTCGTGGATGTTCGGGCAATACGATGTTTCGGGTTTGAACATGAATTATCATAAGTTTGTCACTATACAACACTTGAATATATTGAAGACATGCCGAAATGTAGTGTGATAATTTGCGATAACAATAGTTACACATTCCGAAAGGTCAACGCCTACGCACACGTGTACATTCACGTATAGAGTCATAAATGCAAGATTTTTATAAAATATTCTATTTAAAAAATTGAGGCGTGGCCTCCTTTCGCAGAACAGAATTCGTGCAGAATTGTTGATAAGACCGACCTGAAGTCAAAATCCCCTACAAATACATCTTTAGATGGTTTGAGGCGGTGATTTTGCTTTTGCATGTAAATGTTTATGCATTAAGTGTATCAGGTCTTAGGTAGACTTTTATATCCTAGAAGAGTCCTTGAACTCGGCTGTTATGCTATACTTAATTGACCTCACGGAAATTCTCATTAAACTATATAATACATTTCTCGTATTATTTTCTATACTTATGTTTCAATTTGTGTGTTTTACGTTTCAAACATATTTTTTTTAATCTTATAATTAAGTTAAGGTATCCTTTTGAATGGTGAGTAATCAAACATGTTTTATTAGATATTATAATTTTTTTGACACGGACAATAACGAATCTATTATAGCTTCAAAGTACTTAGTCAGCCTTTATTCGGTGTTATTAAGGACCTTTTATAATAAAAAACATCTATCGTGTTGGGATATGCTTTCAAGGAAAACAGTCTTGAGTAGTTTATTCAATCTACAAATCAGGCAAATAATTATTTGAATATATTGAAAAGTTTTGTAAAATATTTCTTTTTTCATGCCAAGCCGGTTTAAATCTTTTTCTAAAATCTAAGTATTATTCTTCTTTTTACAGACAGCCTTTCATAAGTAATCATCGGCAATTTTTTTATGGAAACGAAATTTAGATCTCTCACATTTCGCATTTGCATCATTAAGGAAGTTAGAGTTATTGTCAATAATCTGAAATAATATGATAATTTGTTATATATTGCATTTTGTTTGGTGATGACAAATTCAGTTACGCCAGCGTGACTTGTTGTGCATAGTTCTGCTTTATAAGCGTCGTGTCAGAGCTACAAAGCCAGTTCTCGCCTTTTCTCCCACAATATGAGTCCGTATACAACACTAAAAATCGCCACCATATTTGAATGCAGATGTATTGATAGTGTTTGATATATTTATATCTTATACAATATGGTCTGTCCAAATATTATTACATAATTCAAATGCGCTTTATCGAAGTCTACCAGGAATAATAATGTATAATATATATTTCTAATATCAATGGCAAACAAATACTTAAAGTACTATACATATAAACGCCGTGTTATGATCCCGATGTATTATGTTTTGTTATGGTTGCTTGTATTTTCTTGAATAGGGGTTAGGTACGATTCGTTGACAGTAATCCACAATGTGTGTAGCACAAATATACTTCTCTAGTCATCAATTAATAATCCATGTGCGCAGATTATTAAGACTTATCCAGATGATCGGATCACATAGGATGTTTCGCACTTAACACCCCCAAGGCGTCAGATAATCCGGATCTAAGATAGCATTATATTACATACACAACACGTCAAGAGTATTGTCAAGAGTTGTAAAACCTGTACTTTTCTCATCAAAACGACAGTCAGTTGTATGTAGTTGCACAATATAATACATTTGACACTTTACACAATATTTCGCACCGTCACTCAATTCAACGAACACCATCAACCGATAGAACTGAACCTCTAGATTATATTATCGTGACATTCTATTTAATATCCATCTTCCTGATTATCTGATTGCCCGCCTTCAAAATTAGTTTTAAGGTTTCATGTTTGTGTATGAGATTTTACACGATGAAGCGCCATCTTATCTGTCCGACCTCGTTGCTATTCAAGTTCCAGTTAGACAAACTTATTCTTTCTCCACTATAACAACAACTTGAACCCAGTTATAAACCAGAGCATTAAGGAAAGAGGGCATTTTCGATTGCTGCACCCACGCTCCCAGCACACTTCGCTTTGCACCCACTTCTTCTGCTTTCAAGTCTCAACTAAAAATTCTTCTTTACCATATAGCTTACCATATCATGTTTTTTCCTTATTTTGTATCTTATTCTTCTAAATATAAGTATTTGTATAACTATTTTCATGTAAAGCACATTGGTTTGTTTTATGTGCTTTTATGCGCTCTATACAAATTAAAAACAAAGATAATGATAACTAAACTTTGTGATTTTAGCATATTTTCTAGGCTTATGTACTGTTATACTTACATATTAATATAAAGTTAAAATATGGTATTTCGATTATAAAGCGTATATTCACGTGAACGGGCTTGGAATATATTCAAAAGTGTGTAATACACCCAAATGTATGGAATAACACTTATATATGTGGGACTGTTACATAATGCTTGCCCACCATTCCCGGTATGTTTGAAACCATGGAAAACGCTGCGTCCCTTGATTTCTTGAGAATGTTTTTCGTTTCAATTGTCTATGACTATTGGGTTAAGAGAATTTGAGAAGACTCCTTTATGGGTGATGCGTCACATAGCCGACATCTGAAAGAACCAGATATATTCGAATCAATAATAATTATTTACAATAATTCAAGTGTAACAAGCTCTTATGTTTATGTTTACTTACAGTATGGTATCGGGCGGAGAATCCGACCCCAAAGACTCGAACACAAAGGAACACAGTGCTATTATTAGCAAAATAATGAATGTCTTCGAAATCGGTGCCCTACGACCCAACACCGGAAGTAAGTATGTTTTACTTTAATTTCAATGAAACGATAAAGTCGTGATTTGTTTTCATTTGAAGGATAATTATTGTGAGCCGTAGCTTTAGCAGTACTGTTGTTTAACCCTTTCACCACCAGATCTCTCTTCTCATTACAAATTCACAAAATACGAAGATTGTGACAAAATTATCCAGTATTGGGTAAAATCTGAAAAATTACACAAATTGTGTTTGTTTGCAAATATGAGCGACTACTTTAGCGGTTTATTGTACAGATAATACCGTGCACCTTTTGAACATATATGGTAGTAGGTATTCGAACAATATAGATGCGATGAATGTATCCAGTCGTTGACAGTTCTGGAAACCCGATGATTTATTTTGCTGGTAATTGCGAGGACATTGCCTAAACCATCGCTTAACTAATAACAACCATATGTTTTTTTTATTTGTGCTGGTACGCACATTCGTTTTCGTATTTTAGATTTGAAACGGAATGACTTAATTAGAAAAAAAATCGTCTTTCCGCGGTGTACCGCTCGCGTCATTCAATATCATTTCGACCAACAGCGTGACAGGAGCTCATCTTAAAACTTTTATTATCCGCTAGTAAATATACAGAAAATATACGTTCAATACTTGATATTCGCATACGATTAAAATATACAAGAAGAAAGTTTCAATCGTCATTTTTATATAATTTAGCAAGTACAACACACTGTGCAAAATTTATATAGAATTGAAGACTGCATAAATACCCACACATATTGTCCGACTAGGAACGCTATTCTAACGTTCGATTGTGGAAAGGTAAATTAAGTTGCCTGAAAATACTCAATGTACGTTCATGACACGGGTACCATTTTGCCCGCAGTTAAGCGCGAAACTTATAAAATCAAGCAACTTTTAGGAAAGAAGCTGGTTTTAGCACAGGAATATTACCGGTCGTTGACATTCTTGGATTATTTACATTGCTGGTAATTGTTGCGGTGACATTTCTTTAAATATAGCTCAGCTCACCAGGGCCATATGTTCTTTATATTATTGCTGGTATCCCCGACATGGAACGGAATCGGGAAAGTGAGGAAAGTAATTACTCTGTCGAAATCGGTTGAAAAAACTCGTAGGACAATTGTCGGTGCACGTTACATTCTATCGCTCTGTGTGAAAAGAGTATAAACGTAAAATGTCATACCTTTATTTATATTTTTGCCAACTCCTCAAATACAATTATTTAAATCGGGTGAAAAATGTTGATGTATATTTTTACGATTCCTAAATTGTCAAAATTAGAAAGGAACAAACACTTTGGTCAAAGACGTTTGATTTTCTTCAATCAAATACACCCCTCGAGATTAAAAGTGTTAATAGTACACTTATATCCAAAATAGGTTCTCTCGTGTTATTATTTACGGGCTATTAGTTTTATGGGATAAAAACTACGGGTGTTAATGACATGCTTGTATGAGGTGTGCCTGGTTAACACTCACTGTGAATGGATGATGCAAAAATATTGCACGTTCAAACAAATATGCAGGCTGAATTTCGTGGTATAAGTATACTCAAAACGTATACATTGATATAAAGAAAAAATGTTTATGAGCATTTAAGTATAATAACAATCGGCATATGTCATATGTGTATAGCATCTGTCTTATTGGAAAACGTACAACTGACTGCAGCATTTCGTCGATCTATCCGATATTTTTATAGTATCCGCTTTGAACAAATGTATGCTCTAGAAACGTACGACTCGGACAACATAAAATATCACATTTACTAGATAAGTTTTACCATTTTGGAGGCAAACTGTAAATATATCCACCAACTCGACCAGGAAAGCCACGGTGTCACAGTCTTCACTAATAAAGCCGCATAGCCCGGACAGCTGACATAATTCTTGATCGTTCAGACAAAAATAGATAATTGTATTGACACAATAATCCGCGAATCCGCTTGGTATTGATGTAATAATGACGTACGCGGAATATATAACCAGTATTTCATGAGTGAATGTACGTTGTAATGTAATGACTTCTGAGTCATTTCGTCAATTATTATCGTTAGTTTAGCCTCATGCGAGTGAAGAATATGTTATTTGTAAAGTCATCAATACGTAAGGTTTATGGGGATATATTGCTAACATAATGTGTGGGTTGATTTAACCGGTGATATTTCCACAGCTGCGACGATGAAACACCAGTAGACACGAGTGAAACAGTCTTACGCTGAACAGACATGTTGACGTTACGAGGTCTGGATAGGATGTATCATGTATATTCATAGCTCAAAAGCATTTTAGCCAACACCCGACCACCACAGATATTCGAATTACTACAACTCATTACAGATACCTACCAAAAAATAGTGTAAAACATATTCAGCCAGAGCGTAAAAATTTAAATCTAGCTTGCATTGAACAATCATATTTTCAATGACGTTATTATCGATATACAATAAATTATCGTGCAGGTTGGTTGAATGAATGTGAATATTTAATTAGTTAGCGCTTGTATACACATTGTTAACTCGGTGTGTTAATGGAGCCTAGCGTGCGCTCATAAAAAAAAAAAACACTTCCACTCTAATCTTTGAAAAAAATATGCCGGCGAAAAAAATGCCTAATTTGATTTAATTTAATTATGGTAATTATGGTAAGTTAAACAAACTATTTCAACAAAATAATTTCATTTTGCCCATTTCTATATATTATTGTATTTTGTGGAATTTCTTGTAATTGGTGAGTCCAAGCAACATCATTTCTTTACACATTCATTGTAAAATGTTCTTTTGTACAGTATAAGTCACTCAACTATTTACATGTGAATATTGCTTTATATTTTACATGCAAAATCTTGCAACGTCGACTTACAACGTCGATCATTTGCAATCGTCCTGCTGGCATTATTCCATATTTGTGAGATACCATTTCTTTAAACTGAGATTTTGCAGACAAATACATATCACGCCATGTTTTTTGGTTGCGTATTGATCTATAACATATGGTACAGACATTAAGCTGGAGTGAATGTACTGGATTACGGGAATTCAAAATATATTTCATTGTTAGTATTGTAAATGTATTTGTACTTTTTTTTGCAGCTCATGCGGTGAATGTAACTTGTGAAATGTATGTCAACAGTATTCACTCTGTAAAAGAAGTAAATATGGTAGGTATCTGGAAAATTCGACGTATATATGCTATAATCTTTTAACAACAAAACAGAATAACTCATTAGTGAATGAACATTAGTAAATCTCGGGGATTCATTTTCTATTTAGTGTGGTACGTTTTAATAAATATGTATTCTGGTGCCCAGGGCTAGGAAACACACTTTTGTTATACAAGTGTATATTTGTATCTCATAGCTAATAGATGTTTGTTTCTGCAGACCCTGCTCATGCCGCTTAGCGTGCCCCGACATTGGGGTATCGGCTTACTTTAAATTAATTTCCTATTAGATGATTCATCTGCACTCCTAATCCTACAACTATATATGAAACAATTGTTATTAAATTTGACGACGCAAAAAATGGATACAGGCATTGAAGGAAATTAAAACAGGGGCATCAAGGGTCTTTATACGATATTAAAAAACCTGGTATCTATAAAAGCATTGTCTCTGGCACGTATCTCGGATATTGAGTTAATGTTAAATGTATATTTCATTAGTGTGCAAATATATTTTTTAAGATTCAGTTTTTTTATTTATGAATCTTAGTCGAATTGGCTTTTAATACCTTGTCAGCGAAGAACTATAAATAAAATACCATACTATACACCGCGTTAACTATATTTATTTATATAAATCATGGGTACATCGAAGCGAAGAAAAATTATAAATCGCGAAGCAGTACACGTTTTTACTAAATTCGCTATTTATCAAACGGTATCCTCCGAGGCGTACAATGTGTGCATATATTATGCCCTTGATGTATCTCACTGCAGTTCAAAATGAAATCTGTCAGGTGTCAGTTGCTAAACTAATCGATTTTGCTAGTATGTAAATATAAGGGTGATGAAAACACTGGTACTGATATCTGCTGGTACTATCTGTACCTTTATTATGTATTCCTTCATTACGTCTTGCATAACTGCACTACCGACCACTCAATCAGCGAACTGTATATGAAAGACATACAGATTGATAAAGAACACGACAATATATTCCCAGATGAGTCATATTTACTGCTTAACTTTGGGGCAGTCGTGAACATTCATTTTTCCTTGCTTGGTTGGTTACATGAAAGCTCTTTTTGCATCATTGCTGCTGTCAACATTTCACTTTTCACCCACACTAATAATGTTTGTTTTATGATGAAATACAAAACCATGGATGACTGAACGCAAGTTGTATAGAACACAACACAAAGGACTGACATGAATGACAAAAATAATAACAATGATAATGGGCGTCGCCACAGTTCATCTCTGTTAGTCCCCTCTCAGACATTGTCTATAATTGGACTGTCATGTTTAGATGCGTACGTCTGTTTGATCATGTATCTGAGGTCATTTTAGGCACGTGCGTAGACATTATTGTTGTATTTGTCAAAAAACATAATCGTCAACATCTCAGCTAGCTTTTATTCCATCCTGACCTTCCATCCCATTTGGTAGATTACGGACGGACGCATATTAAATTTGATTTGCGATTGGTCTCTAAACGAGTTATTGGGAAACATTGAACTTTTTAAGTGCTGTTACTCATTTTTCGTGGCCGATTTTCATACAAAGCAAATTATAGTGGTTTATTTTGATTTTTAATTTATATAATTTTCCCTGTTGCTTTTCTCAAATATGCAATAAACAATTATATGTATATTCGAACACAAAACAGCTCCAAATAAACAACACAATCAATCCATGTCACTGAATTGCAAAAAGCTTGCTGAGTTCATGTTGGCTAGTAAGGTTACAAAGTGCTTAATGTTCACAATACTTGACAGTGTGGTACATGACAAATAAGTACCCTGACGATTCTAGTAATTTACGCAATGTATAAATGAATGTTACCGAAATGTACACAATGCTTCTTCAATTGGCATTCAAGCTATTTCAAGCTAGCATAATTAAAAAAAAAAAACTTAATAATCGGCACTATTGTGTACATGTCATCATATGACATCTCTCTGGGAGAATATATTACCGAAATACTTTTTTTTTTCTTTTTTTTCTTTGAAGGAATACTCTGTGGCTATTTATTTGAAAATGCGCTGGCATGACGAGAGATTGCGTCATAATGGCACGGAACCTATAACCCTCAATTCGCCCGAGTTTATAGATGTTGTATGGAGACCAGATGTCTACTTTGATAATGAAAAGAAAGGGGAATATCATAAAGTGACAACTGATAATAGGGCATTAGAGCTGGGTAGCGAAGGCGACATCACATATGGACTCAGGTGAGGCAGCAGTTATAATCACACCCTTATGTGTCACGTTCGTGTTTTATTATGCCCGTTTCAATATAACGAGTCATAATATGTGTTTTATATAAGGTTCTTAATATACAAATAACCGGGGATCCTAATGCACGTTGACAGCTTAGTAATACTGCCTGAACACTGAACACAAATCGCCAATTCACGACCACATCTAACGCCTCAACTGAGAATCTGTATATAATATAACTATGACAGATGTTCAATACAATACAATACTATTGCTGTTGATAGAAATTGTTTTCAAGCCACTTATCCCAAGGCAATTGACCGAAGGATAACGTTGTTTGGAAGGCCCATGGGCATGCGTATACCTGTACCTGTAAAAGGTCAGTCGATATGTGTCTTATAGCGCAGCATGTACACTTTGTATTGAATGGACAAGATTGTAGATCGAGCAATATAGCAACAAAACAGTTCGTTGCCATAATGCATAGCAACCGTGATTACATTCATGGTGCTTTGAGAACTTTTGGTGTAAGGCTGTGGCAGCACTTGTAGATTGACTCTTGACATTACTCTGACGCGGATAACATTTTATGTTCCGCTTGTTTATAAACGTTACCCATGTACTCGTTGCGCTAATCTCCAAACCAAAGTGACATCGTTATGACAACAGTTGGAAGCTAATACTGTTTGTTCTTGTTTAACAGGTATTACCGGTATATGTTGTGTTTTATTATACTTAATTGTTTATAACGCTGCAATACGATGTAAAGAAATATGTATAATAAATATAAATATTTATATACATAATGATAAATATTATCATACATATTACACATTACACTGGGTATCTGAACCTACCTTATTAGGAGATTTTAAATGTGGAATAATCCGTCCCACTGCATTTTATTTGATGTGGTTGCCTTGGAAGTTTACTAACACTTCAAACTGTGTACTTTCCGACGTGAATAAACGTTGTTCTTACATTTGAAAAAATGCATTTAAACCTAATAAATATATTCATCATAGTATGGCGAATGTGTGTATGTTTTTGTACACATACAAACACTAGGCAGACTAGCCCTGATCATGAAGCATACAGTTTGCATGTATTTAGAGTGTTTAGGTCAATGTATTTACCTAATAGATTCTATAAACCTAATGATTCTTGAAGGAATTAAAACACATTAATTATTTCAATATCCCAGGTGTATATTTCATTGGAGTCGAAATAACAATTTAATTTCATACTGTTATTATAGACCAGTATACATTTGGCATTGACAGAATCGAATGAAATAACGCTGATGTTAATTTACTCTCTGTCATTGAAATTACTTAGGCTCAGCTTGACGCTTTCCTGTCAGATGAGACTTCAGGCGTTTCCGATGGACAGCCACAGATGCAACATGATGATGCTCAGTTGTGAGTACTCTGTTCTTGTTTTAAGTTAGTGGTTTGTATGTATGTTTTATTTTGCGCCTTACACAAAACGAAACACATAGTCGGCTTTCCATGCCACAAGCTAACTAAGCAGCTTGTCTGTCACTGTAAAACGTAATCCCACGACCGTGTATAAGACTCAATATTTCGCTCGATAATATTTCACTAGAGATGCTTGCTATGCTTATATGCCCCATAAAACAGATATTTGACCATTATAATATCCCAGTTTAAGTCAAATTCAATCTGAGCACGTTGACACAAGATACATGGTGAAATAGAAGACCACTGAAAGTTATATAAAATTAAAAGTCATTTTCACGGTTAGTTAGTTTTTGACCTTAACGTAAAAATGTGTTTTATTTACCATTTTTCACACTGTCTACCGAAGACGAATATGCTGAAGCGTACCGTACCGTACAAGATAACAATCGCGAAGTGGTGACAGTTTGGGAATTTGCAAACTGAAAATTAAATACTCTGTTTATTATAATAGTAGTGTATCCTTGGTTACCAACTAATATACGATGTTGTATGATAGCATAAATCATGGAGACAAATTAGTTATATCACATGATGTAACGGTGCTCACATTATTTTATATCAACATGTCAAATAAAATATGTATATGATTCGCATGTACCCCTAATTTATGCAAACACTGGGTAATAACAGTCAGTATGAGTAACATGTCCGCTCAATCCATTAGACATATCGAGTTCTTTTATTTTGTCCGTATTCCGGTCAATGATCGACGATTGTTTTTTTTTTTTTTTTTTTTTTTTTTTTTTTTAAGTGTAACTGAAATCCATTATTATTGTTCAATAGATGCTTACGATGCAAACAATCTCATTCTGCAGTGGAGAGATTTTAATCCGGTAGCATTATTTCCCGATAATCAAATGCCACAGTTCACGCTCACGAAATATGATTATACGGAATCAATAAGGACTTATAAGCATAGTAAGTATACGTCTGCATTTTATTGAATTTTCCCCAGCTGTACAACAAAATGTTTTCATCAAGTGCACATGCGCACCATGAGACGTATTACCTACGCAGATTACAGTGCTAGAATTAATTGATACTAATCAATTGATATAGAAAATAGGTATCGCTGTATTATGTTATTTGGCATTAGGTAATTAATATTATTTTACTGATTTTCCATAATTAAAAACGTCCTTTACGACCTAGAACCAAATGCATGTGTAGGATACTAGAACAGACGCGATATAAACAATGCAATATTGTTGACGTTTATGCCAGGGTTGTTGCCTAGCATTAAATAGGATTTCCGTGATTTATTCTATGTGGATGTACGTTTTGTCTATTGCTTACAAAATCCTGATTGACGAATATATTCATCGAACTTCTATTCGCACAAAATCATTGGTTACTGATTATTAACTGCAGTGGTGCGCGTAGCCTGACGAGGTAGCGTGAGTTGTGCCCTCCGCGTGCTCCAAACCCAACACAAGCCTGAGAGAAGGATGTAGTTTTTCACTTTCCCCGACGATTTTTTGTCGGTTCCAATCAAATTGCAGGAACATCTAATAGAGACAGCCACCACAGAGTGTATTTGTTTGTTGAAATAATGTGTGATATGGTGCTGGCAAATTTGCGTCCAATGTGTATTATCTTGTTGAAAACAGTCTGTTATTTCAGCCGACGATGCAAACAAAGCTTTGATTGATGGGGTTACTATGACCACCAAAATGTACATTCATTGAACTCATTGCAAGAAGGCGTGAACTTTACGAATTCGTAGTATCGATCTTGCCGCCGAGATATACACTATCTGTCAGGCGCTACTGAGGTCTGATGCCGCTCGGCCGGTGAGGGCCTACTCACGCCTACATGTCAGGCTTTGGTACGAGCAGTATACCATTTCTTAGAAATAAGAATAAAATAATGTTCAGTCCAGTCAGTTTCCGATACGCATTTGCTTTGACGTCACTGTAACTCTCGTGATCTTTGAAGATTTACAAGATTTAGAATACGTAACAAGCATATAATGACGGTGAAATATAAAACAAAATATTATGTGCCTTGATGCTAAATTTAGATTAACAACATATATACTGTTGGTAAATTGTTTGATTGATGAATTCTCATAATTAATAGTAGGTACAATATAATGAAAGTGTGAACTTGTCCTGCTAACGTGTTTTTCCAAACAAATCCGTAAGCAAATTTTGTTCATTAATATCCCGAACTTGCATCGGTAGGTAGCAAAAACTGACTCGATTGTTTCAAAATCAGATGAAACCCCAATTTGAATAAATATACCTCATTGCTTTGTCAGCGCAACAATCGTTCATGAAAAGTATTAATGCAACTGTTTGCGTGGTATATATTTCAAACATAGAGAAATGTAACAAGTTATATTTGTCATTAAGTCTTTTATGTGTGTGTAATTTTTATCTCAACAACCTTTGAATGCAAGGGGGATGATTTATGTGTATCGGGGTAGTCGGTGGGTTGAAGATATGTATAAGAATTTCACAGATATGTGAATTTAGTCAATGAATTTAGTTTTTAAAATTTGGAGCTCAACTGGTATCCGTGCATAGAATGTATGTCGATTTATATATCCAAATTCAACGTTAAGTGTGCCATTATCTCTTCTACTCACTACAGTGCCGAACAAGTCTTGTCTCGAAGTAGTGTTTTACCTTGAACGGGAAATGGGATACTACATACTGACCAACTACATTCCGAGTGCTTTGTTAGTAATATTATCATGGGTGTCGTTTTGGTTACATCTCGATGCTACGGCAGCGAGGGTCGCTCTTGGAATTACTACAGTACTCACAACAGCAACACAGTTATCCATTGCTCGGGAATCGTTACCCGAAGTGTCGTACCCAACGGTAAGAGGCATTGGTCAATATGACTGACCACGTTGAGAATGATAATTTTAAGGCTGCAGAAAAATGTTTTGATTTAGTTTGATGTGGCTAAAATGAACGAGACTTGATGATGTGCTTCAGTTGTTATAGATGCATTTGGAGTAAACCTAATCACGTTACCAATCCAAATCATTGCGGTTATTATGTTCCATGAGAGCACCTGTGTCTGATACAAATTGTGCATTCTAATAAGTTCAATTTTTGACTTTTATAAGTGTCAATCGGCGAAAATGACTACTGTGATGAATACGTCATCGATATATTGTTCACTGGATTGCAAATAACAAGTCCAAAAGCTAAAAACATGTATATTACTTACACAGTGCCATAGGTGATATGATCTTTACAATGTATGTTTTTTTGTTCGTTAAAAAGGCGGAGCTTATATATATATACTCAATACTGAAACGTTAGATATATGTTGATTCATTGTATTGATTTGAGTTCTGTGCAGAAACAAGCTTAGTAGATGTTACTTTCGGGAAGGACGCAAAGATAGTGATCCACTCATAGGTCAAACGTCACAATAAGACATACAAACAAAACATTTCATTAATTGCAATTAAAAATTAAAAGATACACTAATTGTCCTATTATGTATGTGATTCAGTATTTTGAATGCAATCGGGTGTCTCCGATTGAACGATCATTACTCGATTCTGCTCTCGGCTCACGTAACATATAGACATACTACTAACAAGATAATATACTCACAGCGGTCACTTATCGGTTGTATTGTGATCACGTGGCAGGAATTCGCTGGAATAGTCTATTTGATTTACACGGTGTTCTGCATAGACGCGTGGAGAATTTTCTTAGGCGATGGTTAAATGCTTGCTTTCATATTATTTTCAAGAATGGCATGCTGACCTTTTAAACATGTTATCCCAGACTCACGGTATTCCAAGTTAATAGTGTTTGTTGTTGTTTGCTATGGTATATGCCTTTGCAAATATATATCCATTTGTAGATTATTAGTTTTGTCATACGTGTCCAACATAATATCCGATGCATTTATATTAACATTATTAAATTAACATGTATATATTTTTTTCAAATGCACTATCGTTTCAACTTGTAGGCAATCGACGTATGGATGACGTCTTGTATGTTCTTTGTCTTTGGTGCTATGATAGAGTTCGCTATTGTCAACTATTTGTATATGTATCGCAAGTCCAAGATAAATGAGCACGTATCCGGAATTGAACCACAGGTACAGGGAAATTATAGACCACATTTTGTAAGTTTTCACTCTCTTTAGTGATATGTTATGCATGATTCAGCATGAAATTTCTCTTTTTATTAATGTTAGAATTTCTTTTGCACCGTAACTTCATAGAGTGTTCCGATTAGTATCATAATTATGGTATACACACGTAACATGCTCAGACATCGTAACGTATGTAGTAGCAGGTGTCCCATGATTCTTCTCATCTTTATATATTTACTGTATGTGTTTTTTTTACCAAATCATTGTTATTCGTTAGAATTCAAAGCCTTGGAGTAATTGAATTTTTCTGTTCACTGCGAGATCCCGCGTTATGTGTGAAATCAAACACAAAAACAGGACAAACAAAAATCTAAGCGTTGCAGTGACGTCAAAACATCGCGTGAGATTCAGTAAACGCGAAAATATTTTGGGGGATATTTTCACGCCTAATAATGTGATACACACATTTGATGGTGGCCATATTTGATGAAGTTATGGTATTTCAACGCAATAAAAAGGGATATCAAAATTCAAATCGTTCAATTTTTGTGGCAGGCGTTAGGTCCGCGCCTTTCGCGCAATACGCGAGATCTCGCAGTGATCGGAAAATCACCTAATTCCGTCTGTATGTGATTTCATCACAGGAATTAACCCAAAAGACGAACTTTGGAAACAACGCGGATGGTCTCAATGACGGAAATTTTACAACTCACGTCCCGGTCAAAGACGTGGACTCAACACGACCGTTCATCGAGAAACCGGCGGTTCAAACGTGTTCATACGCTAGGATGGCCAAGAAAGTTGACCGTTTGGCTCGATTACTCTTTCCACTCCTGTATGGCGTCTTCAACGTAATATACTGGTGTCACTATAAACAAATATTCAGATAGAACAAAACACATAATATCTAAACGATAACCATTTTTCCTATGGATTCATTTTCTCACTTCACATCATTTTACGCACCATACTATAATTAAAGCATACGGTGTAAAGGTGTACAAACAACAGCCGGCGCAGCACGTAATTTGAGAAGGTGAAGTTTTTATGAATATTACATCATTCCCGTGAGCGCAGCTGTAGGCGTATGAATGCCGTTTAATTTCACTAAGAAGTGACATGCGCTGACACAGAATCAGCCTATGAAAATAACCTCGTTGGATATATGTAGTTAGTTCCCATGGTGATTGAATAATTACACCAGACAATAAAAAAAATACGGTAAAAGTAGAACAGCTGTTTAAGATAGTTCTTCTCTCAGTACGCATTTTTATAATAGCAAACGGTAGTTCATGTATACTTATTTACTCAATAGATGTACATTTTCTAAAATTACTGCGGTACACTTTTTTCACTAGTAATGGAATAATTCATTCATTCAATTGTGTGAACGTTGGCAACAAATAATAATAACCCGCATTTCGATTCAAATCAGAACCTTTCTTTGCGGTCTACATACTTCCGAGTTTTCACTAATGGTATGACATTCGCATATGTTTTTTACTCTCTATATTCCACGAAAAATGTTTGTCAGGGAAAGAAGTAGATTATAAACGACGTCCACTGCCCAAACGTTGTATTTTCTTTTGATCACAGTACTATAATCTAATGTATTGTATTTCTTTCATAGTTTTCATTTGATAATGCGTTGTCGGGTTGGCCAGCATTATTATGACAGTACCACACAAAATAGCAGTTCTTGTAATGTCGAATGATAAAATACTCCGCTTCTAAATTTAAAGACAACTTTGTTGTTGCAGGTTTTGTATCATCAAAACAAATACACACTATTGCAAAACCGGCACACATCACGCTTTGCGAACTTCTGTTTCACTGCTCTGAGATATATCACCCTTGATTCATCGTCTTTTTGTAGTATATACCTCATTTCTTTATCATCGGACAACACTTCGAACTCGAGGTCGATACTGAACTTGAAAATCAAATGTATTGCTCTTATGGGCCTCGTCTTTTGACGACGAATCCCTTCTGTGACGTAAATGCTAAAGAGACACTGTTCGATATTTTTGTCCGTCAAAAAAAATGCCGAGTTTAGAAAGATTGGCTATAATTAAATGATACACAACTACACAATTAAACAGAATTGTCTATATCAGCATTGTTTATTTCATCTATGTAATTTTGACGTCAGAGAGGAGATTCGACGCTGGAGGGCGCGGTTAATATCAATTGGGTATTGCACAGGTGGACATGTGAGAAGGAAGCATTTATATCGAATATACTGATTATTGTATTTCATTTTCTCTTTTTAAGTTTTGCTGAAACGTTCATTACTAGAATTAATACAGTCTGAAGATGAAAAATAAATTTTAATTTGTAAATCTCTGTGCTCATTTATCTAATTTAAAAACAAGTATGTCTCAATTAAACTGATTTAATTTGGTAGATTTCTTTTCATTTTTTTGGGCTAAGCTATAATGTCGGTGGCTTACGAGTACAATTATACGCACGTGTTTAAAGATTAAGACGATTTTAATAGCATAAGACATCAGTAAAACAATCGTGATTAGTAGTTAAAATTATGGTTATTATGGTTGTGGTCTTTATTATATTTTATTACATTTGTGGTTAGGGGTTATTTCATTTATGGTTGATATTACACAAATGTTCCACTCAGAGACAGTTGTTAACCTCGCTCGGCTTCGTCACGGTTGACAATGGGCTATTCCGGTCGCTACAACTGTATGTCCACCTCTGATGAGGTCACCATTTGTATTACTATACCGAATAAATCAGAAATTGTCACACTGGTCACAAATTCAAGGTCACACTGATAGAGCTGAATGCATGTATGGTCACAAATATACTAGTTGAAACTTAAAGAGTTCAAAAGCAGTAATTAAATTGTATTGAGTTTTATTATGAATGCTTTTTACATTCATGGTTATTTTGATAAACCTAATTTCAAAGGGCTTCACTCCGACGAAGAATTTATTTTTACAAACACATCAGGCGCCATTCTGTGCGCATGCAGCTACACTGCGTTCCAGTTCGCATCAGATCACTGAAACGGACTGCACACGAAGCTGCACACTGCTTGAGTATAGGTTCAGGTCGAAACCATTCTCTTTCAATAAATACATTGTACATAATATGTCGATTTACTGTCAAAACATACAAAATACTAACAAAACGGTACCATCACAAGGCAAACCCACGCGTATCTGACCGTGTCGGCGAAACGTACGGCAAGCGCAATTAAAAATCACACGATATCGCTACAGAATCCTAGTTTTCTCCCCGATAAGATAGTCAAATAGTGAACGCAAACTAATCAGTTCATGATTGTTGCCGCGTATCGTGTACCACTTACGAGTTATTGGCGTGAATCAGGTAAATTCAATAGGAAGGAACCCGGATCATGATGGAGTTAGACATACAAATACGACAGCAGGTCGACACACGAATATGTCTACCTGTAATGAGCGAATCTGATTGGCTGTCATGGTCATGATGTATAATAATATGAGGTTATTATGATAATGGACGAAGACAGTAGAGCTGAAGTATCGACCGACGCGCAGCGATGTACTGTCTGAGTGCATACTTTGAGGTATTCTCGTAATGACCTTATTGTTATACAGCTTTTCCTTCCAATGATACATCATTGGAATGTCGAAATCAATAAAGTTTAGAACAGAATCAGCGAACTTCTTTGTGTGGAATCCGGTCAAACCCCGATTGCAGCCATGTTTGTTTTTTATTATTCGAGAACGTTTATGCGCGTAATCGTTCCATATTTGGAATTCACATTTCCTTATATGGTAGGATGAAAATACCTTGTAAAAATTACGTCGCGCTGTAATTTATGGCGTTACGATGACAGATGTATAATAATATATTTGATTACATTTGTTGTTAGAGGTTATTATTAGATCTGTTTCTTTGTTACAAGAACAGATTTGAGATGTAGTAGAGTTTTTTACCACTTGTTTATCAAAATGATTTTTAACACATATGTGTATATCTAATAACTATATGATAATTATGTCAATAATGTCATGATGACTAAATTAACATATTTGCATGTATTTTAAATAATTAGTAAATCGTACTTTTCAGTATAAAATAATTTTAGAACATCTTTAGATGCTTAACAATCAACTACATTTTACTTGATGTCGAATTATTGGCCGCAGACGATAGCATTTAATGACAATTAAAAAAAACAATGCAGCAACACCACTATACATTGATACTGATATGCAAATTAGTATATATATTTGTTTTAATTCTGACATCACAATGACAAATTAATTGAATATATAAAACTCGGCAGGCGCGGATTGTTTCCACTTTTTCATCGATTATGAATATGTTATATTATGAACAATAACCTCGTCAGTATTTTTTGTTGAATTCGACCATTCTAAAGATTTCACTCTCTGAATGCAAAAATAAACAACATATTATTTTGTAAATGCAAAAACAATAATGTATAACCTAGATGTTAACTTTGAATGTGACCAGTTAAGAATGTAAAAGATATATCACTATGAAACAGCATTTTTTTATACAAAGACATTGGAATGATATATGTCTATGCACGACCGAGATCAATTTTGGGGATACTGTTTGGTATTATTGTGCCTTAACATAGTTAGTCCACCATCTTGAATTGGTCCGTCAAATGAGAACTATATATATAAGTTTGAATGCGACCAGTCGGACATATGACTCGGGAACAGCATTTGTTGAAACAAAAAGTATCGTATGACGGTGTAGGAAATTTGTCAAACAATTCATTGTGAAACCAAACATGTGACTGCACTACAGTCAATTTCCACTTTATACTGTGAATGAATATGCATATTTTTATAACACAAGAATTTAATGATTTCCGCTATTGGCAATGTACCTGGGCGATTTATTCTATAATATCATTCCATTCAAATTACCTGGACGAAAAAATAAATCTAAGACGCATGCAAACTTGTGTTTTCGAGATAGCATGACGAAAGCAACTACTTTTATCTTCGTCAGGCGTGATGAAAATATAATCTTTACTTCACAATTGCTGGCGAAACGTGTTGTTCCAACTGAACACACATTTAATGGCTATAACAATTCCTAGGAAAGCTATACCTAATAAAATCCGTAATATACTTTCTCTGTTTCTGTGCTAACCTCCAGAAAACTACAATGTTGTACACAATATGTTCTTAAGGTATTAAAATAATGATTTAATTCCGGACTTTATATTCTCCGCAGCATATATTTTTCTATAAAAATTGACTAAAAAATATCTGCCAAATCTCCCCGATAGATGACCCTCCTCTTCCTGTCCTTCTGATCTGTGAGAGCGAAAACTGGCGATTATTGAAATGAAGCTTTCCTATTGGTCAATTCATATCACGCGAGGCGCCTGGGCTCAATGTCAAGATCAATACGAATTAGTGGTGTCTGAATTAACAGATAGATTCAGCAATAACTCAATCATGCTACTTTCACCATAGGATAAATTCAATAATTAATGTGCTTTCGCTGGTTATTTGTTCGTTAATATATGTTCTATAGACGCGTACGCTAAATACAATCGTCTTAGACGTACTGATAATTATTTGACATCTCACGGTATTATGAGGAAATTAGGGTCTCCAATTTGTTCGTTATTTGTACAATACCGTCATAACTGCGCATATCTTCGTCAATGTGCTGCGAAAAGATGTAGCGTGTAAAAAGTACAGTCGCTTTGCCGATAACATTTACGCTGGTTAGATACTAGTTTTGATCCAAATGAATACGCATTAGTTCGATGACCAGCTTTATCCCCCAAAACCATGCACTAACTGAGTTAACGCCTCGCTGCCCCCTTCTGTTACTAAATCTT